GGTGTTTAGTGAAAATTACCTTTACGGTTATTAGAAAAGACATGAAAAAGTTTCCCCCCCTTGTCAGCAACATTTTAGTCATTTAGACGTAGGTGATTTCATGTGTATGGAAAGATCTAACATTATTAGTTAGGGGGGAATTTGACAAACGTTAAGACAAGTTAACTGGCATTTCTAAAGCGTAGAGCGGTTATCTCTAAAACAGCCCAAAATTGAGTGGGGTCGTGAAATTTTTCTTATTTTCTAGGTATAACATTTATCATACCTCCATGAATTGCATGTGTTTCTCTTCATCTAAGAAGACAGAATCTCATGTGTCCATTAAAAAATCAACCAACGATCTCTCCTCTGTTTTTGTCAGAGGATCTAAATCCCTCTACGTCCGTACTTAAGATGACAATGAAGAGTAGTTGAATTGTGGGGGCCACAAGCCTTGTTTTTTTCTCATGAAGAGGCGTGAAGAGCACAGCCAACAAAACCGCGTGAAGATCACTTGTGGGGGCCACAAACCTTTTCCTTCTGCTTCTTTCCGTGTGAATAGGCCCACCCGATTCATAAATTCTGCTGCTATAAATAGAGTTCCTAGGGCTTCGTGAGAAGTTGGCTTTGAGAGCGAAGGCAGGGGACGTGATTAGGCGGCTGAGTTTTCTTCTTTGGGCACAAGTGCAGAGAGAGGGAGGAAAGTCGGCTGAGAGAGAGGTGACTGTCTCGGGTTTTGTGAAGAGAGAAAAAGTATTTGGAGGCTGACCTTTTCTTGTGAAGAAAAGCAAGGAGCCTATTCGAGGGTTTAGATTGTGAGAGTTGTAAACCCATTTGTATTCTTTTTCTCTATAATAGTAGATCCCCCCTCCTTGCCCCGTGGACGTATTTGCCGAACCACGTAAAATTGGTTTGTTTGAGTTTGTGGCCATTGTAATAGTTTTAGGATCCCTCGACGCGCAGTCCTAGAGCTGACGAGAGGAAGAGCTAATATCCCACTTTGATGGGATATTAGGCTTCAGATTATTGTTCCCTTTGAGAAACAAGAATTCTTATTGATCTTTCTCTCTTATTGTGCACCAGAAACTCTGCCGAAATTTCTGCTGCGCACAACAAGTGGTATCAGAGCCCAGATTCCAGATCTAGGTTTTGGTTAGAGGAGTAGATCAATTTGGAGGCCCGTTTAAGACTTCGTTGGTGATAAAGGTGGGATCTTTTGGTAAAGACTCTATCTTTCAGTTTTGGATCTATTCTTTATTTGTTGGTGCGTAAGATGTTGGGGAAAGAAGGTGCTTCGGGTGTTGAGGGTGGTTCTTCTGGCGCGAAGACCATTCAGAGTTTGAATATCCACTCTATGAAGATAGATGTGGAGAAATTTAATGGCACAAACAACTTTGGATTATGGAGATGCGAGGTTTTGGATGCGCTGAACGCGTAGAATTTGGAGGATACATTGGAGTTAGATGGCAAGCCAGATGACATTGAAGAGAATGTTTGGAAGAAGATGAATCAAACGACGTATGGTGCGATTAGGTCTTGTTTGACTCAAGATCTAAAATATGATGTGATGAATGAGACTTCTGCGAAGAAGATTTGGGAGATTCTCGAAAGCAAGTATTTGACCAAGAGTGTGGAAAATCGCTTGCATTTGAAGAGGAGACTTTATCGTTTCCAGTTGAAGAAGGGAACCTCCATTAGAGATCACATGAACCACTACACAAAGCTTCTTGCGGATTTGGCGAATGTGGATGTCAAGATTGAAGATGAGGACAAGGCGTTGTTGTTGTTGAGTTCCTTGCCCGACGAGGAATATGAGACATTCGTTCTTACTCTGATTAATGGGAAGACATCTCTTTCGTATAGTGAGGTCACTGCTACACTGGTGAATTATCAGCTTCGGAAGAAGGATAAGGAGACTTCGACTGAGTCGGTAGCAGAGGCGTTGGTCGCAAGAGGGAAGAATCCGAACCGGAAGAATTGGAAGTCACAGTCTAGAGTAGGGCATCCTACAATTGGAAAAGATCAGTGTGCTTGGTGCAATGAGACTGGTCATTGGAAGAAAGAGTGCCCAAAGCTCGATGAATGGATGAAGAATAAGCAGAAGGGAAAAGGGAAGCATCCATCATCAGAAGCAAACATCGTATCGGATGGTAATAATTCTGACTCTTCTATTTATTCGCTTTCTATCAGTCCTACAGATAGCTATTCGGAGGAATCTGAATGGATGTTGGATAGTGGTGCGACCTATCATGTGTGCCCTAGAAGGGAATGGTTCTCCAGTTTTGAGAAGCTGGTGGACCAGATCCTTGGGATAGGAAGAATTCGCATCAAGATGTTTGACGAGACTGTTAGGGAGTTAAATGATGTGAGATATGTTCCTTCTTTGAGGAAGAACTTGATCTCAATTGGAGCTTTGGTTGGAGAGGGTCTGAATGTTCGAATTGAGGACATGGTTCTTAAGATTGTGGAAGACTCTCGGATTGTGATGAAGGACGTCAGGAGGAATAACCTGTATTACTTGATTGGAGGTATAGTGGCAGGTGGAGAACTGTCGACTTCTGTTGATTCGACTAGACTGCGGCATTTGGGGCTTGACCATTCCAGTATTGATTCCTCACATAGATTGAAAGAGGGTGTAAAGACCTGCAATTTAAAGTCCAGTGAACATGTTGATGTGAGCAAGAAGACCAAGGTGAAGTTTGACACCTCTATTCACCAAGTTAAGGGTTGTTCTGGAGGAGTTCACGTGGATGTTTGGGGGCCTTCCAAGGGGGCATTGTAGGCTGTCTAAAAATCACAATAGATAGCTGATCCCCATCAAAACACCGATGATGGAAGTTACACTCTGACGACTTCCAGAAGGTTACAATTTGAAGACTTTCACGTAGATCGCTAAAGGTTACAATCTGACGACCTTCACGACAACTGATGGAAGTTCTAATCAAACAGCCTTCATAATCAACATCGGGAGTTACAATCTGACGACTCTCATATATCAGAGAGCTAAATCAAAGATTACAAAATGACGATCTTTACAACGCTTCGACAGAAAGAGACTACAAATTGACGGTCTCTTCAAATCAAACTGTGGAAGTCCTCCCCGCACACCAGCATCAAGACGTATCGCGTTCATAGCCACGAACGCAGCTCAACGCAGCTCATACCGCAGCTCAAACGCAACTCTAAAAGCTACAAACGCAGCTCATGTTCGACCGCCAACGCAGCTCATGTTCGGCCGCAAACGCAGCTCCAAAAGCTACAAACGCAGTTCATGTTCGGCCACAAACGCAGTCTCCGAAAGCTATCAACGCAGCTTTCACCTGCCGCCAAACGCAGCTCCCAAGCTGTCAAACGCAGCTTTCAACAAGATGCCAACGCAGCTTTCAAATTGCTGCGTCTGAGCTTCCAAACACTACGTTTGAACGCAGAATTCGCATCAGAACACGGGCCTGCGTTTGACTCGTTCAAACACGAGCTGAACGGTTCCAAAAACGTTTCCCACAATCTGAGGGGATCATAACTCCACTCAGGAGTGATTTAAGGGGCGGTTACATCCCATTAGGCCCACTTAGGAGCGAATTAAGGAGGTGGTTACACCCCTTAATCCCCTATAAATAACTAAAAATCAATTCAGTTCAGGAGTTCGGTCGATTGGAACTTCTTGGCTCGTCAACAGGATCCTTAGAGCATTTCTGGAGCTTTGGAGATCTGCAACAAGATCTTCTTCATCCTTGGCTTATAACCGACTTTCGGTTAAATCAACTCTTTCATAGAGTTTTAAACTCGTTCAGAGTTCTCCACAACGTCAAATCGTGAGGAGAAGATCACGTTCCAGTGAAACAAGACATCGGATTGTCAACGAGAAGCAAACTCGACGCGAGCATTCGAAGGAGGCATCTCATCGCCACCGTGAAGAACCCAGATTTAAACAAAGGGGAGAATCCAGATCATTCTCTTTTTTTTTGTAATCAGGAAATCCAATTATAACTGAGATTAAAGGAATACAAATAAATTTTCTTTCATTTCTTTTACTGCAAATTTTCCACTAAACAGGCATCATTGGGAGGTAATAGGCGTTTGGTTTCCTTTGTTGGTGACTGTTCTAGGCGTGTTTGGGTTGCAACCAAATCCCCTTTGGAGAAAGTCCTAGTAGTATCTAACAGATTGAAGAAGTGTGTGATAGACAGAAATCTGAAGGTACTTCATTCTGGTGGGAGGTACAAGATGGACCTATTTCTGTATTGGAGCCGAGCTCACGGCATTGCGAGACACTTCGTTGGAAAGGAAATCTTGGGCCAACTAGATAAGGTGACAAATTTGAAGAACCGTGCCTTTCTGGAGGAGGATCGGTGTTTAGTTTCTGGACAGAGGCTTCGACAAATTTGGGTCATCCTATTAAAGAGTTGTCAACTGCTGTGATTGGAGGTAAAACTCTATTGGAAGATAGGTCTGGTAGTGTCACTTCGGTTGAGGCTTCGATGAGGGAGCTATTTGACTCACAGCAGGTGGAGAGTTTTGGACAGACCTTAGATGTATCGCAGCGGGTGGAGAGTGATGTTACTCCACATTGGGTGAAGATTACTCCAGATCATACTACATTGTTTGGGATTCCAGCTGAGGTGACACAGCGTGGAAGTCATTTGGATTCGGATGCAGATGATGAGTTGGGTTTTGACTCGAGTGCAGCTGATAGATGCAGTTTGGATATGACTATTGGTTCACCTCAGGTGGAGGTGTTTGAGGCAATTGGAGGTGCTATCAGCCGCAGAGTTGATGATATTTGAGAAGGGTTGCGAACTCTTCTATTTGATTGAGGTCATTTGCGGCCATTTGGGTGAACTACGTTCGGCTTGATTCCTTAGGCAAGAGGATACGTAGGCAGTCTTATGATGCAGCCGGGTTGGATTTTAATGGGGGTGAGATCGATTTGGTGAGTAGATACCGACGTTTGGGTGAGTGTTCGCACTCCCGTTTGGGTCTCGACTTGTGTGGATGGAATCCGTTGTTATGTGTCCGTTACCATGGCGTACTGGACGCAACAAGTGAGGCATTTGGTGTGGTCAGTGTTGGCTCAATTTTGGGAAAACTTCGCCGAGGTGGAGAATTGTGGGGGCCACAAGCCTTGTTTTTTTTCTCATGAAGAGGCGTGAAGAGCACAGCCAACAAAACCGCGTGAAGATCACTTGTGAGGGCCACAAACCTTTTCCTTCTGCTTCTTTCCGTGTGAACAGGCCCACCCGATTCATAAATTCTGCTGCTATAAATAGAGTTCCTAGGGTTTCGTGAGAAGTTGGCTTTGAGAGCGAAGGCAGGGGACGTGATTAGGCGGCTGAGTTTTCTTCTTTGGGCACAAGTGCAGAGAGAGGGAGGAAAGTCGGCTGAGAGAGAAGTGACTGTCTCGGGTTTTGTGAAGAGAGAAAAAGTATTTGGAGGCTGACCTTTTCTTGTGAAGAAAAGCAAGGAGCCTATTCGAGGGTTTAGATTGTGAGAGTTGTAAACTCATTTGTATTCTTTTTCTCTATAATAGTAGATCCCCCCTCCTTGCCCCGTGGACGTAGGCAGTTTGCCGAACCACGTAAAATTGGTTTGTTTGAGTTTGTGGCCATTGTAATAGTTTTAGGATCCCTCGACGCGCAGTCCTAGAGCTGACGAGAGGAAGAGCTAATATCCCACTTTGATGGGATATTAGGCTTCAGATTCTTGTTCCCTTTGAGAAACAAGAATTCTTATCGATCTTTCTCTCTTATTGTGCACCAGAAACTCTGCCGAAATTTCCCCTGCGCACAACATGAATTAGATCACAGTGCTCGGAACAATTACCCATGCCTTTCTTTTATCAGCTACCAAGTCTACCGCTTCGACATGAATGACTTCAGAAATTTTACATGATAAATATGCATGGAACCCAGTATGGTAAACACGCCAC